AGTGTACCTCTGGTGCAAATTACTGACCTCTGTCATCATTTTAGGTGGGGGAACTTGCACAATCGGTGGCTGACTAAATACTTTTTTGCCCCACTGTATCTACCATCTATTTTCTACTCTGGGGCAATACTTAATTGATGGTGTTTTAGTTATTTTTAAGTATTTTACTGGGTTGTGTGCTTCTGTTACAGATCTGCGAAAGCAGGCCAGACAGTTGGAGAACGAACTTGACCTGAAGTTGGTCTCTTTCAGTAAATTATGCACCAGCTACAGCAGCTCCAGAGATGGACGTCGAGGAGACACGTAAGATTAAGGCTTCTCACTCAACTGTAGAGTTAATAACTACTAAAAAGATGAAACAATTAATATTCTTCTAGCAATAAATCTTTACCAAATGTAAAGATGTATTTATTGTATTTTATTGTTGTCATATTTAATCACATATTTAATATTATTCTTAAAAACAACGATATAGTGAAAAGATATAAAGATATAATGAAAGCAAAGATTGGTTCCAAAGCTTAAACTTAATGTTTTTTATTTTATTTTATTGGAGTTGAAAATGGGTTACTAGTCAAAATGTTATTATTTTTAATTATATTCATCATTCAGAGTTTTCATATCTAGCCTGAATTGTAATTGTTCAAATGCATATTTGTTAATCAGCAAAAAAAAAAGGTTAAGTCTCCAAAAGCACTCAAAGCGCTTTATGTGCTTGGTGTATGCCTCATTCACCCATACACCAAGCACTTTTCCCTATGCCTAATTACTTTCTGTCTACTAATCACACACCTATACTCTGATGGATGCAATGGAGAGCAAATTTTGTTTAGTATCTTGCTCAAGGATATTTTGCATGCATTCTGGAGCAGCCAGGGATTGAACCACCAACCTTCAGATCAGTGGATGACCTGCTGTCCTAATCTACAGCCACCCCTAAAGTAGCTTGAATGGAATATTCTAACACAAAAACTACATGTTTCTTTATTGCAGACCTTAAGGATTTTGAGACCAAGTAGGCTTTTGAAACATTACCAATCAAGAAAAAAAAACTTGATTACTTACTTCTGTTTGATTACAGTTATTTATTTTTTACTAACAGCTTTAAATTCTTTATTTGATGAATGTGTAATTTCTGCTATGAAATAAAGCACATTTCTTGTCCATTAAACACAAGAAAACAGTACAAGTTTTTTTTTAATGTGAGTTAAAAACCAATTACAAATAAGCTGCTTTAAATAAAAATTCTTAATATTCTTCCATCTTATTTTTCCTTTCAGGTCAGACACCACACCTCTGCTAAACAACTCTACCCAGGACAGGATGTTTGACACCATGTCAGTGGAGATTGAACAGTTGCTAGCCAAAGTAAGTAAATTGTCTCAGGTCAGTGGAAAAGGACGGCAAAAAGAATATAATAAGAACAGAAATGGATATATGCCTCGTCCTTCGTGTCTATCCATCCGTCCACTCTGTTTCCTTCTCTCTCTCAGCTGACTGCAGTGAATGACAAGATGGCGGAGTACACCAACTCTCCGGGCGCAGCTGCTCTCAACGCTGCTCTCATGCACACGCTCCAGAGGCACAGGGACATCCTACAGGTTTGCTGTCTTGTTCCTTTTTTCCTGTCGCTCATCTGTTTTCTATAGTTTTTTTTTTAACATTTTTATTTAATTGAAATCATTTTCTTTCATAGCGACTTCTTCTCAGTTATAGTTACTGAACTCAATGAAGAGCCCAAGAACTACTTTCTAAAGCACATACTGAGCCTTAGGCTACGTTCCCGCTGCAGGCGAAAGTGCATCAAATCCGACTTTTTTGACCCTGTGCGACCCATATCCAATCATGGTGTGACAGTGTGAACGGCACAAATCCGATATTTTCAAATCCGATCTGGGTCACTTTCGTATGTGGTGCTGAATCCGATACATATCTGATGTTTTAGAAAGGGACTGCTGCTTGAATGGTCAGGTCGCATTAAATCAGTCTTCTACGTCACTGACACAAGACAGACACCAATTATCAGCGCCGGAGAAGCGCCCGATAAGACATCGCGAACGCTTCCTGGCCGTCCAGTGCAGATGTTAGTGAAACTGTTGGGAAGACAACGTTGGAGAAACGTGAACATTTTATTTGTACTGTATAATCTGCGGATTCTGACAGAAATCTGCAACTATCCTTTGAAGCACCGCTCCTCTAAAACAGCAATAAGGATAATTATTAGGCCATATGTAAATAACAAAATAACTTTATAACTTAAAGCAAAATTGAGAAACGTGAAGTCTGAAACAAGTCTTTATATTAACGGCCATCAGTCAAACAATACTGTTTGGTCTGGGTCTAAACAGAGCGCGTTGTGTGTGACGTCTTCTTTTGTGCATGCAGGCCGCTTTGAGGGTTCACACTAAAGCGCGTTTGCTGTCACATTTTATTTGTAGTGTGAACAAGTAGACAAAAAAATCGGATTTGATCAAAAAATTGGAATTGAGTAATAAGACCTGCAGTGTGAACGTAGCCTTAGTGGTTCAGTTTTGTCCTGTTTACCACTTGTTTGTTTGTCTGTCTTTCCTGTATTCCTTTTAAAAAAACAAACAAAAAAACCCCTTTATTTTCCTCGAAGGACTACACACATGAATTCCACAAAACCAAAGGCAACTTTTTGGCCATCCGGGAAAGGGAAGACCTTCTAGGGTCTGTCAGGAAAGACATTGAGTGAGTACTCAGCCACAGCACCTTCTAATTTCATTTAGCTTTTATAGTAGTGTGGGAATGTTTTAATTAATTAATTAATTAATTAATTATTATTTTTATTAATGTCGTTGTTGTTGTTGTTGTTGTTGTTGTTTATTATATTATAGTAAATGATAAGATCCTACACACGCATGCTTTCTTGTGTTTTGATCTGAAACGGTGCTGGGCAATAAAAAAGGTCAAGCACTGCTCTTATGTCGTAGACCTTATTCCTGAGAGGAATAATTGAAACTTCACTTCCATTTGGCATGTTCTTGAACAAATAGAAGATTTGTGCTCACTTTGGCCTTGCATTGAGGAAGTGCATCCTCTCTTCAGATTTGCACAGTTTGAGGGAATTTATTGAAACGAAGGTCTCCCTAGACCATGAGTCTTCTTTTTGCAGTGGCTTATTGATCTGTGAAGGCACTGATGATGGCAAACAGTGAGCACTGCAGGATTCTTATTGATCCTTCCCTGTCCATCTAGAGTACAAAGAGAAGAGTTCTCATGCAGAGGCGTCTTGCAGGCAGGCATACATGTTCAATAGGAATACACTCACTTAACTATGTATAAATATACAAATGTAGTATTCATTAAGTAATTTATAAAGCTCTTAAGGAGCTTACTATAAATTAAAATAGTTTACATTTTTCCAGAATGACCTGAGTGTGAAAAAACAACAGATTAAACAGCATTTGGTGCAGTTTTTCATTTAAATTATGAAACTAAGGATAGGGTACAGGATACTAAGCAGACTTTTGTGTAATACCAATTTGTGTCACGAGATGTTGTATCAAGTCATTGGAGCCTCGAGTGTGTCTTGAGTCCAGCACAAGAAGAAGGTAAAATACCGATGAAATGACAGATATTGTGGTGAATCAGACACTGCTAGAAAATGATGCCTTAACCACCAACAGCAGTAAAGGAGCAGTCAAATGCATGATTTTATTCTCTCTGTTTTAACAGAGGACGGGAGAGGTTATCAAATATAGTGTGAATCTTTACTTAATAAAGTATTAATCAGGATTTTCATTACATTTGAAATCACTGAAAGTAATATTTTTTAAGGACGCAAATGTATCTCTTTATATTAGGAGCCACTTCATTACATAGGACATCGGTGGAGCTTTTTTTTTTTTTTTTGGCCAATTGTTTTTATTTTGGGTTTTTTTCCACTTTAATGTTTGTTCTGCTTTTTCACCACTTTAAAAGCACCTTTGTCTGATCTTTTAAGTGCAAAAGATGCATTTTCATACAGTTTTCTAGCATGATGTGGCAACTTATTGCCTAGCAACCGGAAAATGACTTTTAATTAAAGAGACCACCCCTTATCTGAATGATCCTAAGTATCAATACTGGCAAATAATAGACAGAAAGCAATAAGATGTGACTTGAAAATATATGACAAAATTCTGTTGTCGAAAACCGCAAAAACAATTTCCTGATCACAGAATTCTGGACTTTGTGTTTTTACATTGTCTTCTTGGCAGCACAGTTTAAGCCTTGGCCTATCTGAACACTAACGTAGTTACAAGATGCTTTTATAAAATACAATTTTGGGGTCAGTACAGAAATGTGTAAAATATCATGACATTAATACAGTGATGGAATATCTGGTGCAGCTCAGCATTTTCTCTTTTGTCAGGCAGGGGGCAGTAGAGCTCTTGGCTGTGAAGTAAATGGACCAGCACATGTTTCAGAATATGTTTTCCATGTGGTAACAAGAAGGAGTCCAAACTATCTAATTGATACAAGCACTCAAATGAAACAGTGAGGCATATATCAAACACCATATCAATAACTTGCATTGTGCTTACAGACTACTGAAGCACACACACACACACACACACACCACATTCATAGTAATAGCATGCTGCAGAGCTGAGCTGAGATGTAACAACCCTTCTTCTCCTGCTTTGATTTTTAAATGTCAGCAACAAAAATGACAGTTTTCTATGATTTACATTGGTGCCCTTTTAAAAAGCCTCGCCGGAGTGATGAATCGGTCTGTCAGTACAAAGAATTCTGGTCCCACAGAAGCATCAGCCCAGTTGCTAGGGTGGTCAGATTGGGCTCAAGGCAGTCACTCTGGGGTGTACTATATGTGCTCATAGCCTTCCTCCTCCCCTGCTCGACGAGAGGGTGGGGCAGTGTTAAATGACCAGAAACGAAGAAGGCATGGGAGTCAGCAGTTCAGGGCTGCTGATAGCTAGAGATTCATCAAACAGAAAAGAATGGGTTTGCTGTGTTTACTTTGTGAGTGGTGCAACGCCCATTCATCACTTCTGACTGCTCAGTAGAGGAGAGCACGGTTCTTTCTCTGTTTCTTCATTAACCATAAAAAAATCTATTTTTCTCCTTTTTTTTTCTCTAGGAAAACAGTTCTTTGAATTTTGCTTTGTTCACTGCAGCAGCTTTAATTCAAAAGATCTGACAAAAATGACACATTTAAGGAATCATTATTTTTAAATGTCCCTGCAGTTTCTCAGACTCAGACCTACTTGGGCAGTTGGCCAATCATGGCTTATAGTTTTATGGAAACGCAATATTTAGTCTGAAGAATTATTATTATTGCAAAGGGTGGCATCCTTGGTGTGAAAATACAAAAAGGAAATTAGATATTTGATGCAGTGTTAAAAAAAAGAATGGGTTAGAAACACAAAAAGAGCCATGAAAGACAATCAAGTCGTTAAAAAAAAAGTTTAAAATGCTTATCTTCTCTGTCTGGCTTTTCTGATTAATTAATTATTACATAATCACTGTATGCAATAGCCATATATGCTACAAATATTAGCAGTTTGTGTGAATTAGTAAAGCGCTACCATACCAGTAAAGCGATTAACACCTTTAACGCTGTTATCACATTGCTAATGTGCAGTTTAAGGAACAAGGCCTTTACATTTTTATATTCCTTGTATATGCTGTGTGTTTTAGTGGTCCTTGCAAAGAAGAGTGAGATCTGCAGGATAAAACGCAGATTGTCACCTCACTTTGAAAGTTAGCCAGCCTTTGGTACCCTGTGGCAATCTGCTTGTGAAAATTACATTGGCAGCCTTACAGATTGCTCCTTTTTGATTGACTTCTGATTCTGATGTATGCAAAGTTACAGAGACAAGAATTGGGATCAAGGCTGTCGCCTGTTAACTTGGGCTGTCATTTTAGATTTATTTCTTATCTACACTTTGAAAACTTGATTTTGACACACAAGTAAATCTGACATTGCCTAAATGTTGAAAATTACCATTCATTAAAAAAAAAAAAAGTATTATTCACGAGTGTATCTGCCTGCCTTTTTAGGACATACAAGAGCGGTTCTGGGGTCAACAACAGAAGAACAGAGCTGTTCCTAAAGGAGCATGAGCATCTGAGAAAGTAAGTTCCCAAAGCATTTGTATTATTTAACCATAGCAGTTAAAAGTAGAATAAGGTTGCCATCCTAAATGTGAAATAGTCCGATATTTTTTTTAGGAAAGCAAGCTGGAATAACCTTGATGGCGCAGGCCCACGTTTTGGGAAAAACAAATAAAAATGTATTTTTCTGACACATTCATTTGTTCTCTTCATGCGTTTACTTCATAGCAGATGTGAAGTTCTTCTGTTAATTCATAACTTAAGGTCTTATATGAGCATGCATGACAGAGAAGATCAAATCCTGATCTCTAGCAACCTTAGTATCCCACAATCTTTTGGCTGACTCTCAACCCCTGCAGAACAGCATGTGGTTCTTTTTTTATACGTTTCCCTGTGTTTGTGCCAGAGGTGTTAGATGCCCACTGCATGGAAAGTAAAATTGGATAGCAGCAGGGCACACACACACACACACACACACACACACACACACACACACACACACACACACACACACACACACACACACACACACA